TGTTGAAGCAAAAGAAAACCTTGTCCGAAAAGATTGTTATTGTTGGGGAGAGAGTTGTTGGTTAACTCACTTTAGTGTGTGGTTACCCATTTTAATTGTAGTGGAATTATTACCAAGTTGATTAAGACATTTCCAGTTTAACCACATCAAACAGAAGTGCGGAAAATAAAGAACACAATCACATACATGGTTCAACTAAATCCACTTTTAGCCTGCATCCATGAGACCTTGTCCAAATTGAACGAATCTACTAAGTTAAAAACACATTACAAGATATAGTTCAAAGTTTATCTAAGATACAATAAAAAGAACTCCATTTCAACTTTACACTTAGCACCACACTTTGAATCTTTAACGTGCAACAACTCCTTGGACCTTCTTCACATCGGGAACACACCCAAGAACAGCTTGTGAACCACCAAGCTTCAAGCACTAACACCACACACCAGCATCAACAAAGGAACCACGTTCCAAGAGCCATCAATACAATGTTTGATATGGTGAGGTTTTGGCAGAAAATGGAAATGAACCTGTGAACCTTAAGAGAAAGAATACTCTAAGGAAATTCAAAGTATAATGAAAATAAAAGATCAAAAGGTTAGATTCATATACACAAGAAAGGATATTATAAAATGAAGGATTTTTTTCTCAACGCTATAGTACCACGTCAACCAACAAGGGGCTGGCCCATGTTTGTCCAAATAAGGAAAGTGTTCCTTCTTTTGGTTTGGACCACAAACCATATCGGGAAAAGAAACTTGATTCCCTGGGACCATTTAAGGATACCATGAAGCATATAAAAAGGTCCTAAAAAGTAAGAGACAAAGATAAACAATATCTTTTTCACTTTATCAAACATGCAACTCATGTTGAGTTGCAAATGTCTAAAGTGAAAGTGTAAGCACAAACTATTATGCACACACACTTGAAATAAAACAAGCCAAGACACAATTCTAGCAACCAGTGTGCACGCAAAACTGATATGCACACACACAACAAAAGAAACAAGCCAAATCATAAGATTGGCAACAAATGTGAACACATAACTATTGTGCACACACAACTCATAGTTTGACAAATATGGGTATTCCACATTCTCCCCTTTTGTCAAACTTATGAACAAAGAACATAACAAAAGAGATTAAGTACCAATTTGTTTCAATCAACCAATCAAACCTGCAGATTTGCAAGAACAAACATACCAACAAAAGAACCAAAAACAATACATGAATGAACACAAGGTTAGCCAATAAAACATAAAGATAAAATAACTAGAAAGGTTTTGCAGAAACATAACAAAAACAGCATAAAGAAAATAACAAAATCCATCATGGAGAGTCATCAGCAAAGCAGTTTAAAGTTTATCAAAACAAAAACAAACAAAAAATTAAGTTCACTCCCTATAAAGCTTACTCCCTTCTTTGTTCATAAGTCTTGAAGACTTCTGATAGGGTAGCGATATGTGACTGGTTTTCCTCTTGATTATGCGCTTCAGAGGAGCAATAATGGTGACATGAGAGTCCTCCACTTGAACATTGGGAACAACAATAGAGGAAGTGTCAATAGCTTCATCATGGACTAGAGGGGTTTTTTCTTTGACTGGTGAAGAAGGGACATCTTTAGTACGCACATGAGAAGCATCCTCTTCTTCAGAATGTTGTGCCTTGTCTTGAGCAGCTATATCTTTAGGTTGTTCTTCTTCATGAACAGCTTGTTCTTCTTGAATGACAGTTGCAGAATGCTTAGCAGAGAGCAATAGGAACAACAAGAGCAATAGGAGTAACCTCCTTCTGATCAGCAGGCTTAGTCAGAACAAGAGAAGCATGTTTCTTCTTCCTCTTCTTTTTTTATTTTTTCTTCATTTCAGTCTCCATCTTGTCCATCCAAGCACTAAAGGAAAGGTGAATTTCCTTCACATATTGAAGAATAGTCACCATGGATGTCTCCAAATCCTACATAACAACAAAAAGCTTAGACTACCAAGTGTTAGTCCTAAAGTGTTCACCCGAGGAGGTGGAAGGCAAGTTCCCTAATGGTTGTCTAAAAGACTTCTTGGTGACAGTCTCTATCTTTAATAAGGGTTTCACTTCATAAAATTTGGCCTTATAGGTAGAGAAGATTTTGTAAATCAATGAAGGAAAGGATAAATCTAGAGAGAATAAGTGGATTGTGCTACCACACTAACACTTGTGAAGATCAATACAACTAAGTTGATTTTCTCCCCTTGCGTAATCCCATACAAAAGTTGTGCTCTTTCTAGTCTAATAGGTGAATTGTGCATTAAAGAGATCTTAAACAACAATTTGTAAAAAGGTGTGAGTGCACTCTACTAAAGAACACCACTTCTAGGTCATATAGCAATCGAACCACTAGTTATTACCTTAACAATTTTGTCTGATTCTAAACTGGTCAAGTCAAAATTCTCCTTACTCTTTTTCAGACCTAGAGCATCCCTAACAACATCTTCATTGAACAGAACCCAACGTCCTCTAATGTAAACTCTATCATTATGCACATTAGAGTTTGGTTTAACATTGTCAAGGCCAAAATTGAGTTTGAATGGGTGCAGTCAGACTCATGACAGTACTAAGCCATTTTCTTTTCTTCATCATGCCATGGAATTCTTTAAAATCTTCTAACTTAACATTTGCCTCACTCAAAATTGTCTTTTTGACAATCTGGCTCTTAAATCTAATATTAGCAGTAGGCAAAACAAAATGAGAGATTTTACCAGTTGAAGACTTTTCCATGATTGCCTTTCCTTTCTTCTTCGCCATCTTTGTTGGAGTCAAGGGCTTTGATGGAGCAACTTTTGCAGGAGCACCCTTGCATGATTTGAGAGTGGCAATTGGAGTGTTGTTTAAGGCGTTGTCAGACACTGAAAGGGATTTTTCTGGTAAGGTGGGGGGAAACTCTCCGATAAGTGCACAGAGTCCTGGTGATCACTGGAAACAGGGGAAGAGATAGGTGAGGATGAATGGCTAGTTTCTTCCTCGTAGGACTCCTCTGGTGTGGTTGAATTAGACTCTGATGGCGTTTTCTCTTTCGTTGCCTTTTTCTTGTTGAATTTCTTCAAGTCTTGAAATCCTTTCTTGAGTAATTCCTTTATGGCCTTTCTTTTTGGGTTCTCAATTGCTTTCTTCCTTCGAATCCATGTGAGAAAACAAAAAAAAAATCAAGGAAACGTTTGATAGAAAATCGTGAAGAACAGAGAAAACAGGCAACACAATAGGGTTTAGAACATGAAGACTAACACGAAAAAGATTAGGGCAAGAATTTATGGCAAGTGGTGATTTTGAGTCCGTAAAGAGAGTTATACCAAAAATAGAACTCTATCCTAAGTACGTATACACATGCAATCGTGTGAGCACATAACATTACAAAAGAACATCAAAAAATTTTCAAAAGACCTGACTTTATTGAACAATTTTAAAAACATAAATTTACAATGATGAAATGCTTCACATGAATTTTTTAAGGTCAAGACAATCAATCTATGCAAATCATCCTAATAAATCAAATTTCCAATCTTATAAGGTTCCAAAACTCATAAGGAAATTGTCAACATAATGCAATCAAAACAATATTTCCTCAATCACACACAAGAGAGATAAAGTCACAAGAGTTTGTCTAAGTGTGTGATAGTGTCCTCAAGGGGGTTAAATGACACATTTGTCAATTTAAAATTTAGCAAGAGAAACCCCCCATTCCCTCATGCCCTACAATATTTTGCATTTTTCTTTTTTAGCATAGAAAAAAAAAGATTTGATGATTTTCTTTTCATTTTAAACAAAGGGCAAATAACTCTCAAAACATAAACAAAATGTAGTTTTCACACTTGCAAGAATGTAGTCTTCTTAATGGTAGGTTTTCTAAAATATAGAGGTCTCTATAAATCAGAAAATTACTTAAAATAATTTTCACACTTTGGGCAAGGTAACTCTTTCATAATGGTGACAAGAATGGACAAACAACTCATGATGAGATAAGGTCATGTTATAGAAAGAGTCTCAATGGACACAACATACCAGAGTTAGCACACAGACAAGAGAAAATAAATGACAACTAGGGTGCTAGCACAGATCAGAGGACTTGACAAACAAACATAAAAGTAGCATGTTCATGCTTTATTCATCAAACAGAAACTACTCAAATTGAAGTAGTCCAACGGACTTCCTCAAGAAAACAAAAGTGTCATAGTCAAGTGCTTTTATAAATAAATCAGCCAATTGGTATTTTGTGTTCACATGAGCAAGTGCAATGATATTTTCCTCAACTAGCTCTCTAATGAAGTGATGTCTATGTAAATGTGCTTAGTATTGGAATGCTAGACTAGATTCTTAGAGATGTTAATGGCACTCATGTTATCACAAAAAATTGTCACACAATCTTGATCAACACCATAATCATTCAACATTTGCTTTAACCATAAAATTTGAGTACAACAACTCCCTGCGGCAACATACTTAGCCTGGACAGTGGATAAAGAGATTGCATTTTGCTTCTTGTTGTACCATGTGACAAGGTTGTTTCCAAAATAGAAACATCCACCTGAAGTACTTTTTCAATCATCCAAACTTCATGCCCAATCTGTATCACTATATCCAACCAAGCAATTGTTAGAATCAAATGATGTTAGTAAACTATTTAATGAGGTTGTTAAAGTTGTTAAGTTAGTTTAAGAAGTTTGTTAAAAAGTTGTTAAGTCAGTTTTACCACTGTAACAGTTTTGTATTCTGTTAACTTTCTGTTTTACGTTTTTGCTCTATTTTACTATAAGTATCTTGCTACTGTACTTCTCTTACAACAAGTTGAATATTCAAAAGAATTTCATATCTATTCTCCTTCATTCTCCTCTATTTTTCTTCATACCTTTCACATGGTATCAGAGCCATTGACAAACTTCATAAATGGTTGATCTCTCTCAATTCTCTCTCAATCAAAATACCTCAAGTCACAAGTTGACTTCTGAAACTGAAAGTTCTTTAGTATCTCCAGCCATGGCGTCTTCAACCCTACCTGTTATCTCTCCCAAACTTACCAGAGATAATTACAGATTCTGGAAATCGCAGATTCTATTTGTAGCAGGTTCTCATGATCTGGGGGAACATCTCACCGGTTTGATTTCATGTCCAACCCCCTTTATCAAGATCCAAAGTGAAAGTTCTTATGGAGTTACAGAAAAGAAACCTAATCCAGCTTATGTTCAGTGGAAAAAGACAGATAAATCACTAGTAAGTTGGCTTCTTGGATCCATATCTGAATCAATGTTTTCTGTTGTGTCAAAGGGTCAATTTTCTACCAAAATGTGGATTGTTTTAGAAAAAGAGTTCCTTACTGAATCTAGATCTAAAACCTTACATATCAAGAACTTATTACAAAGTACAAGGAAAGATAATCTAAATATTCATGATTACTTCATGAGAATGAAAGGATTTGCTAAAGTTTTATCATCCAGTGGTATAACAGTCACTGATGAAGAATTGTTAAACTACATTCTTGATGGCCTAACTTCTGAATATGACGCTGCAGTAGTAAATATCACTACTAGACTTGAGTCTAGACTTGATCCACTTTCTGTCCAGGAAGCACAGAAATTCTACAAAAGTATGAGTTAAGGTTAGAAAAAGCTAATCTAGTGATGAATTCCAAGGTGGGTCTGTTAATCTTGCCAATCTTACAACTGGTGAGTGTCACAAGAAATATCATAGTGAAAATCACCCCTTCAATGGTGAGCAGTCTCGATTTACACTATGTCACCTCTTGGTTTTGCATCCCACAATTCAAGTACTCCTCTAGTTGCTCATAGATCTAATCACTTTGTTCCTGGATCTAACCATCTTGTTAACTCAGTTCCACAGCACCAATTTTACTCACCACAGTTTGGTGGCAGAGGAAGAAGGCGTGGATCTGGTAGAAGCAGATTTATATGCCAAGTATGTGGTAAAAATGGACACTTGGCTCTCAATTGTTATCACAGGTTTGACACAAATTATACAGGAGATATCAATCCACTGATCAGACAGAATTTTGTTCCTAATTACCCCAGACCACCTGTTGTTTATCAAGGTTCACCATACTCCCCTCAGAACACATCTCAGCCTACCTATAATCCAAATATATCAGCTAGTGTCCTCTCAAACCAAATGCCTGGTCAAATTGGTTTTTCAGCACCATTTTACACTAATTCTATAGCCCATAATGCAACATCAGCTCACTTTCCCGCAGGATCATCTGGGCAGATTTAAACAAATCATGAATCCTCCACAACTATACCACATACCTCCTCCAATCAGGCATTTTTTACTCAAACACAGTCACCAAACTATACCAACTCTGTTGCCAATTATGTTGCTACATCATCCACTGTCCAAGATGCCTCCTAATACATGGACTCAAGAGCTACGGATCATGTAACAGTTGATCTCTCTCAGCTCACTGTCAACTCTAATTACACTGGAAATGAGCAGCTTCAGGTTGGAAATGGTGAGCTTCTACCTATATCTCATACTGGTTTCACTTATTTACCATGTCAATCTAAGTCTCTTTATCTTAAGCATGTCTTGTGTGTCCCAAGTATCACCAAGAATCTATAAAGTATATCTAGATTTACTAAAGATAATGGTGTTATAGTTGAATTATTTGCTGACCATTTGTTGTTAAGGACAAACAATCCAAGGTAGTTCTTCTTCAAGGAAGACTTAAGGATGGCCTTTATCAACTTCAAACCTCAGCCACTCCAAAATTCACCTTGCCTGATGATTCCGCAAAACCTACAGCCACAGCCTTCAACTCCTCAACTGGAACACTACACCAAGATCAGTCTGTCCAACCCCAGCCTTCTTCTTTTGTAATTTCAGATTTTTGTAAGAATAAAGAATGTGAACCAACTTTAAGTCCTTATAATGAGTCTTTAAAGTCTCTTGCAGATGTATCCTCTTGTGTAAATGCTACTAGTGATAATAATACACACACATTTCAATTACTTGTTGTTGCCAAAACCAATGGAATATTGTGGCACAAACATTTAGGTCACCCCAATGCAAATGTTCTTTCCAAAATTCTGCACATTTTAAAACTAAACAACATTGTTTTACACACCTTTGATTTCTGCACTGCATGTCAATTTGGTAAACTTCACCAATCAGTTTTTCCTAGAACCAATTCAAGAGCCTCTCAACCCCTAGAACTGATTCATTCAAACCTTTGGGGACCTTCTCCCATTCCCTCACCTAAAGGTTTTTGTTATTACATTCAATTCCTAGATGACTATAGCCGATTCACTTGGATTTTCCCACTGAAACACAAATCAGAAACTCAACATATCTTCAAACAATTTCATATTCTAGCAGAAAAACAATTTAACTCCACCATAAAATGTGTCCAAACAGATTGGGGAGGCGAATATAGGAGTTTAGTTCCATATTTTCTTGATCATAGGATTGTTTTTAGGCATCCATGTCCTTATACCCACCAACAAAATGGAAAGGTTGAAAGAAACATAGAAAATTAGTAGAACAAGGTCTAACTCTCCTTGCTCAAGCTAACATGCCCTTAAAATTTTGGTGGCTTTCTTTCCAAACTGCTGTTTACCTTACAAATAGGCTGCCCATGTCTGTACTATCTGGTTTGTCTCCATTTCAGACTTTGTTTAAACAGATTCCAGATTATAAGTGTATTAAAGTTTTTTGTTGTGCAATCTATCCTTACCTTAGACCTTATAACTCACACAAGTTTGATTTTCACACCACCACATGCACATTTTAAGATATAGCATGCATCACAAAGGATGCAAATGCATGGATTCTAAAGGCAAGATTTATATATGTCAAAAGTGCTAAATTTGATGAAAACCATTTCCCTTTTGCAACTACCAAAACTACTACATTCTGTCCTAAAACAAATCAGTCTCCACAGTGTCTCTCTTGTGATAATAGCTCCTTTAGAGTCATTCCTTCCTTGCCCACTGCACCTGTGTCTTCTTTTTCTTCACTAGTTTTTTTGACAATTGGTCAACAAAGGTCATCTGCAGCTCCATTATCATAGTCCAGTCCACTTTCCAAATCTGTTAATACTTCAGTTCCATCGTCTTCCTTAGTAGAATCTCCCTCACATAAAACACTAACTGTTGATCCTTTAGAAGAATCTTCCTCACATTCCCCTAGTATGTACATTACCAAATACACCTTTCATAGAGTCTTCTCCACAGTCTACACATACGTCAGTTCTTGAACCTACTGAATACTCTATCCAGCCTCTTACAAACTCTCCCACTACATTACCAGACCACTCTACTAGTTCTCCTGAATCCATTCATCTTGTTGCAGATCTTCCTTTTCCTAAACACCAGTCCACTCATGCCACCATTGATACCACAGTCCATAATTCTCATTCATTAAATATTCACCCATGGTTACTCGGTCTAAAGCCAAAATTCCTATATCCATGTTAGTCTCCTCTAGTTCGCACCTAGATACAAGTGAACCAAAGAGTGTAGCTGAAGCTCTATCTCATCCATCCTGGAAAGTTGCCATGGAAAGTGAGTTCAAAGCTTTAATATCCAACCATACTTGGGAACTTGTTCCAGCTAAACCACACATGAACATGGTTGGATGTAAATGGGTTTTTCGAGTGAAACAAAATTCTGATGGGTCTATTCAAGGGTTCAAAGATAGACTTGTTGCAAAAGGGTTTCAACAAAACCTCGGGATTGATTATCTTGAAACTTTTAGCCCTGTTATCAAGTCTTCGACCATTCGAGTTGTTCTAAGCTTGGCTATCACATATGGTTAGGATATCCAGCAAGTTGATGTAAATAACGCTTTCCTCAATGGAGAGCTTAGTGAGAAAGTTTTTATGACTAAGCCACAAGGTTTCATTGATGATAAAAAGCTCTTCATGTGTGTAAATTGGTAAAGGTACTCTATGGACTTAAGCAGGCCCCTCGGGCATGGTTTGAGAAGCTCAAAAATGCCTTCTTGCAGTGGGGTTTTCTTTGTTCAGTAGCTGATCCTAGTCTATTTATTTACAGACACAACAATCAGGTTATGTATGTTGTTGTCTATGTTGATGACATATTATTGACAGGAAGTGATGATAAGTTAGTTCAAGATATTGTGCACAAACTAAATCTTGAATTTGCCTTAAAAACCTTGGGCTCTCTTAAGTATTTTTTGGGATTTGAAGTTCAAAGAACAGATTCAGCAGTACATATAAGTCAAGATAAATATGCACGGGATTTACTGCTTAAAACTGGAATGTCAGACTCCAAACCATGCTCCACCCAATGGCATTAGGAAACAAATTAACATTTGAGGATAGTGAGCCATTTGACAACCCATCTCTTTACTGGAGTACCATTGGTGCACTACAATACCTCACACTATCCCAGCCTAAGATTGCATTTTCTGTCAACAAATTAAGTCAATTTCTAAAAGCTCCCACTCAACTTCATTGGCAAGCTTGCAAAAGACTTCTTCGATATATTAAAGGCATTTCAAATTTTGGTGTCAAGTTCACCAAAATCAAAGATTTCATCTTAAATGCTTCATTGACGCTGACTGGGCAGGAAGTATTCAAGACAGATGATCAACCAGTGGCTGCTGCTTATTCCTTGGATCTAACTTGCTACAATGGAGCTCCAGGACACAAAAAGTAGTGACACTATCTTCTACTGAAGCTGAGTATAGAGCTCTTGCTCAAGGTGCAACAGAAATAGCCTGGTTTCATAGTTTATTCACTAAAATGGGTCTGCATCTTCCTGAAGTTCTTGTTATATGGTGTGATAATTAAAGTGCTGGCTCACTTGAATCTAATCCAGTTTTTCATGCTCGAACAAAGCATATTGAGTTAGATATGTACTACATCAGAGAACAAATTGCAACCAAAAAGCTAAAAGTTTGTTATGTCCCCACAGAGTACCAAACCGTAGACATTTTTACCAAATCCTTGTCCACTACGAGATTTGAAGCTCTCAGATATAAACTTACGGTTGTTTACTCTCTTCCACAGGAAACCTCAGATTCTAAAGTCATCTCCCCTGACCAAGAAATCTGAGTTATCAACTCTCTCTGTTTCAGATTGACTCTATTGACTCTATTGACTCTGCAAGATAATACTAGTGTTTTATCAGATTAGTTTAATACTGGAGCTTCGTCAGATCAGTTTACTAAAAAGAAATGTTGGATCAGGTTAATGAGAGTGATGTTGCTAACATAGTTTAGAATTAGAAGTTAGTATGCTTGACGAAAAAAGTGGCTTGGTTTACAGAAAGATGTCAGTAAAACACTGAATGGTAGTTAAGATAGTTTAATTTAAGGAAGGATGTTAGTAAACTGTTTAATGAGGTTGTTAAAACTGTTAATTCAGTTTAAGAAGTTTGTTAAAAAGTTGATAAGTCGGTTTTACCGCTGTAACAGTTTTGCATTCTGTTAACTTTCTATTTTACGTTTTTGCTCTATTTTACTATAAGTATCTTGCTACTGTACTTCTCTTTCCACAAGTTGAATATTCAAAACAATTTCAGATCTATTCTCCTTCGTTCTCCTCTGTTTTTCTTCATACCTTTCACAAATGAGTACCAAAAACCAAAATCACACGTACCTGAAACATATTTCAT